AGAATTCTCAGACATAAGCAATCTGTTTCTGGTTATTCATTTACATTGTTTTTCTAATCTTTTTTTTTTAACACTGGTCTCCATCAGCAAAGGGTATATTCAATATGATCTTATTAACATTACTGTCTTGCTTATTATACCCCTCATTTTCATTCACATAAACTGAGGAGAAGAAAGTATGTAAAGTGTTACTAAACCCACAATAGTATAATCAGTCTCTATATGTAGTAAAGCATGCTTGTTATACTCACTGTGGGACCTAAGGGGTTAATCTTCACATTGTGGAAAAATGCTGTTGGATCCTGTCTTCTCTGATCCTCCCCCTTCTTCCACAGTCCCCAATCCATCTGCTGATAGTACAGTGGCCTAGGAGGCACTCTGCACACGCTCAGTTTGGTGCGTATTGCTAGAGAGTTTTTTTTTTTGCGAGGAGGATGCATGTGATCTAAATTGGGCCAATCAGCACTGTCCAGACAGAGGGTCAGGGGTCATGCAGCCTCATAGGACAGTCATAGGAGAATGAAAACTCCTCCTACAAGCTTTAACCAGTGCTCGGACGAATACTGATAGAAGTCACAAGGCTGCTCTAACTGCTGATGAGAAAAGGTATTTAGCCGTTTATATTTACTACAATAATTGCATTTCCTTGTTCTTTGTTGCATGGGAAACCAGATATAGTGAATGCAGGGACCTGGGTGTCACAATATAAGGTCAGGTTCAGAGACCAGTTGCTATAGCAGTAAAAGGCTTACCTGAAACCAGCAGTATAGGTACACCAGCGGATCCCCCTGGGAATGACGCAGGCTCACCTGAGGTGCAGGGTCTAAGTATTAACCAGTATTCACCAGAGCTCCTAATGGTGGAGATGGATTGGGCTGCATGTTAATACCAGGTCGCAGATCTCAGGATCACCCCACCAGGGAATGAGCAGACTGGGAACCAATAGCAACTCAACAGGTTAGGGATCAGACGAAAGCAGAGTCAGTCACAAGCCAAGGGTCGGTCACAAATGGTAGCAGATCAATCGTAGTACGTTGAGACGTAGTACGTTGAGGATGAGACAAAATCGTGGTCAGGAACAAGCCGAAGGTCAGTAGTGGAGGTGTAGACAGCAGCAGGAACAGTAGCGGGATATTGGCTGGAAAGGCACAATAATCTGGCAAGGAGGAAGTGCATGGACATGGCTTTTATAAGGAAGTTCATGGGAGGAGCAAGGAGTTCAAGGTTCAAGAGTAATCAAGGCACAAGGCAGGGTTATCCAAGAATTGTCAAGGGAGCTGTCCAGCATTCCAGATAGCTGAGTGAGAAGAGACATTGCCTCTCACTGCAGAAGGACCAGGTTCGATCCCAGGCTCTGACACTGGGTTTAGTTACACTTTTTTTTCAGTTGCCTTTTCCTTGTTATTTGTGACCAACTTCCCCTGATCATCTTTTATGGGGCCAATATGTTTTGACCTCACCTTTTTACTATTGTTATATTTGGAAAAAATAGGGTATTTTTTGCTCTCCTCAGCAATGTGTCTTTTGCAATCTATGGTAGCTGCCCTGATTGCATTCTTGCATTTATTATTGAACTCTTTGTATTTCTGGAATGCTGATGATGACCCTTCGGCTTTATATTTATTAAAAGACCATTTTTGCCTATTAATATGCATTTTTTAAGTTAATGTTTAGCCACCCGGGTTTAACTTTTGTTCTTTTATATTTGTTTCCCAGTGGAATGCACTGATGAATGCCATTGTTTTATGTGCCTTTAAAGCACTCCCACTTCTCTTTATTGTTCTTTGTTGCAAGAATTTGATCACATTTAGTGTCATGTAGTATGGAGTGCAGTCTATTAAAGTTGTCTCTTTTAAAATGTAGTGTTCTTGTCCTACACTCATGTATCCTTTTCTTATAATTTATGGCAAATGTAATTACGCTGTGATCAGTGTTACCTAACTTATCCCTTAATCCACATCTGCAATCAGCTCTGTGTTATTTGTAATTAGTTTGCTTTTTATTATTAATAAAGAAGAAGCTTCTTATTAGTGCGTTGTGTTCTAAAGGATCTTTGCAATCGATTACATATTATGTGTTTAATTCTTAAAGTGAACAATTACAACCTGAAATGCAATGTCACTCTCTCTTTTACACACAGATTTAATCATACTCCCTTCTTTCATGTTAAATAACTGTACTCATGTCATGTTTTCTAATTCTCAAAAAATAGTAAAATGGTGAGCGCTAAACAAATAAAAGCAGCTAGCACCTGAGACGCTGACAATAAATCTCAATAAACAAATATATTCAAAAAGTGTAGTGTATAAAACAAATACGATGAATATGTCAGAAGTGTAAATGACAATAAATACTGTATATACCAGTGCAAACAACGCAATCTCGCATAGAAAAGTCCTTCCCATGTGTATCGGTGAAAAAGTAATGTGATATTACTAATCACAAACAAAGTGTCTGGTTCCACACAGTGCTCCAGGGTCCAAAAAGTGATCCACCATCACTATGCACTCACCAGAAGGCTACTTGTTAGGTAGCAATTGTAACAGAGAATCTAGGCAATCATTCTCCAATGTCCGCTAGTCGTTTACTTCCTAGGGGAAAAGCAAGATGGCCAACGTTCCAAGGCACGGAACCGGCAGCATGATGTCAGCACGTAGGCTCCATCCCAGGTAGGGTGGAGCCTACGTGCTGATGTCACGCTGCTGGTGGAACCAGATACTTTGTTGTGGTTAGTAATATCACATTACTTTTTCACCGATACACGTTGAAAGGACTTTTCTATGCGACATTGCATTGTTTGCACTGATATATATTTATTGTCATTTACACTTGTGACATATTCATTGTATTTGCTTTATGCGCTGCAGTTTTTGTATATACATGTTTACTAATTGCTTTTTTCGCACTGTGCACTCTGGCATACAAATACATGATCTAAAAGTTGCTTAAAACCACTACTGTTGATCAGTTGCTGTTACCTTTATTTTTGAAGAGTTCACTAAGAATATTCATGTAAGTTCACTCATTAAGAGCTATATAATTGCCTTAGAGATGGATACCTTATGCTGGTTATGCCAACAAACACTGTAACTTGGCTTTTTCCTGTGAATCCTAAAGTGCGTTGTTTGTGTACTGATAGTTAAATGTCAGTATTGGCCTTAAAGTTCTTTAAAGAGGAATCAGTGAATTTATTTGCCTTCTAAATGAAATTGAACAAGTGGGTTTCTTGTCTGGTTTTTAGCAGTTTCAAAGATGTTGTCTTCTTATCTGAGCAGGGTGGTTGGTTTCAGACAGTGGGAGGCTGCCTTTAGTAAATGGTAAGAGGGAATGACAGTGTTTCAGTGCATTTTTTAAGTAGTTGAGATATAAATTATTTAGATCTGTAGCTCAGTTTCGCTTGAAATTCCTTATTCTATCTGTAACAAATGGCGTAAGCTAAAAACTGGTCATGGGGTGCGCATTAAGGTAGGGTGGTTGTCATTCTGGCTGCTGTATTCTATGCTAACAGTAAAAGAGTAAATTCAGAGGACATTGAAACAATGAAAGCATTAACATTAGCATCTTTTTGGTGAATAAAGTGTTTAATTCTTGCAATTTAATTTGTTACTGCAATTCATAAATGTAGAGGGGTTTTATTGTAGTAAATATCTGATTTCATTGGGTCTTTTTTTACAACAAGATGGAGCAGATAATCTCAGCTATAAAGAATTGTGTCCTCCAGAGCCAGGCATATGGGATGAAATTGTTGCTTGTGTTGTGTACCACTTAGAGAGCCAGTGAAAAATTTCAATGAACAATGAACTTGAATAGGGGAAGGGAGCATGGAATACCCAATAAACTGCAACTGAACAATGTGGGGACTCTAACTTCTGGCAGCACTTCATAAACTGCTGTCTGCACTTCAGCAAAGTAAAAGTCTCAGGATTCCTAATGCTGCTGGTGACTTGTACTCACTCAGGAGTTAAAAGCTATGCACTGTAACTTTCTTTCACCATTTAGGCTCATCTACTCCCTCAGCCACAGGATCACCAATTGACTCCTGCCGATTTGTACCAGGCTATTTCCATTGAGAGAGATACAGACTCACACCACCATACGACAGATGGACTCTTCCTCACCAGCTTATTCCTGGCTCCCTTTAGTTAGCTTTCTCTTGATCCAACTTGAACCCTGGACACAGTTCTGTGAATAGGCCCCCAGCTATGCCTAGCAGGGACCTTGGAGTCTTCCTCAAAGCTATCTTAGTTATCCTGTCCAAGGGACAGAGCCCCTATACAGGGGTCTCCTTGTGCAGGACTGGATCCAGGAACACTGCACCATGCTTCGCAGGCCCAGACTATTTATGGGCTCTCTCTTCACCTTCTGGGCACACCTCCCCAGGGATTGGCTAAAGTTCCATGAATATTCAGGTTGCCCACTCTCCTCCCACTAAGAATCCTCTAAAAGTCAGGGGGAAGTAACAGAGCAGCAACCTGTGAAATACTGAGCAGTCCTAATCAATCAATCTTCCACACCTCTGATTACAGAGGAGTAAAAGCTAAATTTTTCTTACAGTCTACTCTTCTGGGTTGCTCTTCTGTCGACAATATAAGGACAGGGACAATGCTGATGGCTTTAGCAGATTATAGTTGGTTCCTCTGCTTAACAGGAGAACTATTAGGAAAGTATAATTAGGCTTTCTGTTTGACAGAGAGCTGCAATTGTTAGTAGTGCTTGATCAGTGTTTTCAAGTGCTGCTAGTTCTGCCCCTGACTTCTACTATATCCAAGTAACCCAGGGAGGATGAATAGTTGGAACTCCTGCAAAATAGTGTGAATATTAATGTCACTCCAGCTAATCGCAGAGAGTGCAGCCCGGAGTAATGCTGGGAGAGGATATTTATTATTTGAACATACTGAGCCCTGGGTTCTTTCCTTATAGCATTGATCAGGATACTGGTATGGGGTATGGCAATGATCCGGATACTGGTATGGTATATGGGGTGTACCAGAATGCTAGTTTGGGGTATAGCATTGATTAGGACGCTGCTATGGGGTATGGCGGTGATCCGGATACTGGTATGGTATATGGGGTGTACCAGAATGCTAGTTTGGGGTATAGCATTGATCAGGACACTGATATGGGGTATGGCGGTGATCCGGATACTGGTATTACATATGGGGTGTACCAGAATGCTGATATGGGGTATAGCATTGATTAGGATGCTGGTATGGGGTATGGCAGTGATCAGGACACTGGTATGGTATATGGGGTGAGAAGAACATTAGTATGGGGTATGAGGGTGATCAGAACACTGGTATGGGCTATGGCGGTGATCAGGATGCTGGTATGGGGTATAGTGATGATAAGGATGCTGGTTTGGGGTATAGTAGTGATCAAGGTATGGTGTATGGCAGTGATCATGGCGCTGGTATGGCATATGGCAGTGATCACGGTGCTGGTATGTCGTTGATCAGGATACTAGTATGGCGGTGATCAGGATGCTGGTATGGTGATGACCAGGATGCTGTTATGGGGTATAGCAGTGATCAGGATTCTGGTATGGTGTGTGATGGTGTTCATGACGCTGATATGGCATATGGCAGTGATCACGGCACTGGTATGGCGTTGATCAGGATTCTGGTATGGTGTATGACGGTGATCATAGCGCTGATATGGCATATGGCAGTGATCACGGCGCTGGTATGGCGTTGATCAGGATACTGGTATGGCAGTAATCAGGATGCTGGTATGGCGTATGATGGTGATCATGGCGCTAGTATGGTGTTGATCCAGGACACTGGAATGGCTCTGATCATGACATTGGTATGGTATATGGTGGTGTTTTTATGAGCACTGGGACAGATGACAGGTGCTGGCTGCTTTTTTTATTATGGTTACACTTGGGAAGTGATCAGGGACACTAAGGGTGGCTGCAGCCTACAGACTGCTGTACACACCGGCTGCAGCATCACTTCTCTCTGCTTTCAGATTGAGAGCAGAGAGAACTGATCTTTAATTGGTATTGTTTACTATGAGATTGCTGTGAGTGAACACATTTGACCACCCGGACACAGTGGTAATGTGAAACACAGATCACTGGGCTCCCGTTTGCTCACTCTGTGAGCCGCGCAGAAGCCTCTGATGTGGGTTGAAGTAGAGGTACTTTAGCCCACATTGCTGCTGCTTGCCGTCCACCTTCTCTAGGCAATGGGCGGACAGGAAGCAGGTAAGGTGGGTACACACATATAAAAATTCAGCCAGTTCAGCAGGGACTGAGGGTTCCTGCTAGAGAATGGTGTCGCTCTCCTAGCAGTGCTACATTGATGAGACATATGAATCACAAAATTGGCTGGACATCATTACAAGCCCTTTCAACTGTGTATTTGTTGTTGTCCTGGAGATCAATTTAACTTATTTTATATATATATTTTTTTTTTTTCATTTATATGATTTAATCTAAATTTGCAGATCAACAGAATCTTTTTGTTAATAATTTTATCTGGCTTTTAGTCAGTTGGCTTACAAAGCTCATAATTATGCAAACTATCATTTTTTATTTGTTTCTCCCCATAATCCTTTCTCCTCCTCCTAAGGTCTCATTCACACCTATACAGGGCAGTTGGGGACAGGTAAAGGGCCCTGGATGCCGGCTGTTTGTGTCCAGAGCTGCTCATCTGTTCCAAAATGAATGTAAGTGCTAGATGCGTAATTACATGTGAACAACCTGCTTGCTAGTTGTGGCTTATTCCATCCATCTGTGTTACTTGCTGCACAATTACACCCATTCTTGGCAGTATATGGCCCTACAGTGCTGTGCTGTCAGTTTTGTGTAGATTGTTATTCTTTTCACAGTGCATTGGCTTGTGGCATGACATGGATTCTAATTGTTTGTGGGTTCTGATTCCATTAACTGAGTGGTCAGGATTCTTGAGGAACAAACTGATGAGCCAACAAATAACTCATAAAGTATTCAATGACTACAGCCTGTAATATGTGGTTACATTTAGAGATTTTAAACTGATTTTCCTCTTCTTTTTCCCTATCTGTTCTTCTTTATTCCTTTCTTTTTCACATATAGGGCTTAATTTGCAAAGCACTCTCCTTTATGACCTATGTAAATTCCAAATTAACATTCCAACATGTTCTGTCCTCACTACATGTTTCCCTGTGTGTAACCCAACATGCAGCTAAACCCTCCTATTCTGCAATAAGCCAGACTGAATGTAATCTTAAAGCTTTATAAACAAAACAGTGTGGGTAAAACCATTAGGAAAAAAACAGATAAGAAGTATGTATAATCAACATACAAACACAATGAAATGATTAGGCTGTAGATGGCAATAAATCCATGCTCACCTGCAATGTTGCCTGTAAGTGATGTAAATTTAGGCCATGACATGTGCTGCAGAGAAGTATGCCTGGTTCCTTTCCCTTAGTTCTTAAGGTGGAGTCTGAGTTCCCAGGATGCATCTGTTGGATGATGGCAGCTTTTATTAATTAAATAGATATTGGTTTCTACAAAACAGTGAATTTATTCTGGGCTTCATCTTGTGGCCAAACTCAATATTTCAGGCAAAACAGGCATAACAAATTTCCCCACTGGAGGCAGAACACAAGTAAAACAAACTGGCTAAAAAATAAATCTCAATGAAAAATGTTGCTTATTTATTAGGATTTATTATCCAGCTTTAAATGTCTGTATATATATATATATATATATATATATACACATACAGATATATATATATACACTCAAAGGCCACTTTATTAGGTACATCTTACTGGTATGGGGTTGGACCCCTTTTGTCTTCAGACCTGCCTTAATTCTTTGTGGTATAGATTCAGCAAGGTGTCAGTAAGGTGTTGAAAACATTCCTCACAGATTTTGGTCCATATTGACATCACACAGTTGCTTCAGATTTGTCGACTGCACATCCATAATGTGAATCTCCTGTTCCATCACATCCCAGAGGTGCTCTATTGGATTGAGATCTGGTGACTGTGGAGGCCATTGGAGTACAGTGAATTCATTGTCATGTTCAAGAAACCAGTTTGAGATGATTTGAGCTTTGTGGCATGGTGCATTATTCTGCTGGAACCCCATAGGATACCAAAGGCTAGTTTTGGTATTCGGTAGTATTTTGAGATTATTTTCATACACCCTGCTTCACACCTCCTACTTCTATTATCATCGCTTCTCAGCTGTTAAAATTAAAACTAGGAGTTTATTTATTTCAGGTACTTATATAGCGCCATCAATTTACGCAGCGCTTTTTCATATATGTTGTACATTCACATCAGTCCCTAACTCTCAAAGGGCATACAATCTAGGTCCCTAACTCACATTCATACATACACATACTAGAGACAATTTAGAAAGGAGCCACTTAACCTAACAACATATCTTTGGACTGTAGGAAATCAGAGTACCCGGAGGAAACCCACACAAGTACAGGGAGAACATGCAAACTCCAGGCAGGTGGTGCCGTGGTTGGGATATGAACCAACGACCCTAGTACTGCCAGGTGGAAGTGCTAACCACTTAGCCACTGTACTGCTCAGTTGCTATGTATTAAATAACAGGATTACATAACAGGAGCAACTTTTAGGCTAGGTTTACACAAGCTGTAAGCTTGCCATCCCCTGAAAAGTGATTGCTTTTTAGAGGCATGTGACAGGCAGTTGGGAGGCAATATGTTGTCACTAGAGATGAGCGAATCGAACATGACGAAGTGGAATTCGTTTCGAAGATTAGGAAAAATTCGATTCGCGCCGAATCCGAAAATTAGCAAACTTCGGATGCACGAATCGAATTTTCCCAAAAATGGCGGCGACATGTGTGGCGACGGAGCGGGGATCTCTGGGAAGGCGCGCAGACAAGGCGCGCTGACCCATAATGCATTCATTCATGACATGTGATCGCATTAGCCAATCAGCAGCCAGCAGCCAGCACTGTGTAATGGTGGAGCTATAAATCGCGGCCATCTTAGAATTCTCCATTAGCCTCCGGTCATTCAAGAGAGACAGACCTGTCTGTATTAGGGACAGAGTTAGGGCCACAGAGACTTTAGGGCCACAGAATCGTTACTCAGGGACACAGAATCGTTACTCAGGGACACAGAATCGTTACTCAGGGACACAGAATTGTTACTCAGGGACACAGAATTGTTACTCAGGGACAGACACAGAATTGTTACTCAGGGACACAGAATTGTTACTCAGGGACACAGAATCGTTACTCAGGGACACAGAATTGTTACTCAGGGACACAGAATCGTTACTCAGGGACACAGAATTGTTACTCAGGAACACAGAATTGTTACTCAGGGACACAGAATCGTTACTCAGGGACACAGAATTGTTACTGAGGGACACAGAATCGTTACTCAGGGACACAGAATTGTTACTCAGGGACACAGAATTGTTACTCAGGGACACAGAATCGTTACTCAGGGACACAGAATTGTTACTGAGGGACACAGAATCGTTACTGAGGGACACAGAATTGTTACTCAGGGACACAGAATCGTTACTCAGGGACACAGAATCGTTACTCAGGGACACAGAATTGTTACTCAGGGACAGACACAGAATTGTTACTCAGGGACACAGAATTGTTACTCAGGGACACAGAATCGTTACTCAGGGACACAGAATCGTTACTCAGGGACACAGAATTGTTACTCAGGGACACAGAATCGTTACTGAGGGACACAGAATCGTTACTCAGGGACACAGAATCGTTACTCAGGGACACAGAATCGTTACTGAGGGACACAGAATCGTTACTCAGGACACAGAATCGTTACTCAGGGACACAGAATCGTTACTCAGGGACAGACACAGAATTGTTACTCAGGGACACAGAATCGTTACTCAGGGACAGACACAGAATTGTTACTCAGGGACACAGAATCGTTACTCAGGGACACAGAATCGTTACTCAGGGACACAGAATCGTTACTCAGGGACACAGAATCATTACTTTCTGCTTCACAACCACTATTGTACGTTCAAAGAGTTAAATCCTGTTTTATGTTTGGGGTGCTTATTGAATTAAAGAGTATGTCAGACAACACGCAGAGGAGTGGCAGAGGAGGCAATGTTTCAGGAGCGAGCAGACGTGGCAGCAGAGGAAGGGGTCGAGGCAGCACTAGTCGCAGCCAGAGGCCAGTGCTCCCGGTGTCATCCAGCGGTCGTGTCTCCACCGACAACCCTGCCGTCATCGATTGGTTGACTCGGTCGTCTTCCTCTTCCCAGGTCACCTCTGACACCTACAGCCAACGGTCGGTGGGTACGTCAGACTCAACCGTTAGTTGGCATGGCCCGGGAGCAAGCCCACTGAAATCA